AATACATAGAGAACTAAGTCAAATTTATAAGAATACAAGTCATTCCCCAATTGATAAATGGTCAAAGGATATGAACAGGCAGTTCTCAGATGCAGAAATTAAAGCCCCATCTATAGTCATATGAAAAAAATGCTCTAAATCACTATTGATTAGAGAAATGCATATCAAAATAACTCTGAAGTACCACATCACACCTATCAGATTGGCCAACATAACAAAACAAGTAATTAATAAATATTGGAGGAGATGTGGGAAAACTGGAACACTAATGCATTGTTGGTGGAGTTGTGAAATGATCTGACCATTTTGGAGAGCAATTTGGAACTATGCCCAAAAGGCTAAAAAAATGTGCATACCCTTTGACCCAGCAATAGCACTTCTAGGTCTGTATCCCAAAGAGATCATACAAATGGGAAAAGGATCCACATGTACAAAAATATTTATAGCAGCTCTTTTTGTGGTGGCCAAGAATTGGAAATTGAGGGGGATGCCCATCAATTGGGGAATGGCTGAACAAGTTGTAGTATATGAATGTAATGGAATACCATTGTGCTATAACAAATGATGAGCAGGTGGACTTTAGAAAAACCTGGAAAGACTTGTATGGACTGATGCTGAGTGAAGTGAGCAGAACCAGGAGAATGTTGTACACAGTAACAGCCACATTGTGCGATGACTAACTTTGATAGACTTAGCCCTTCTCAGCAATTCAAGGATCTAAGACATCTCTAAAAGTCTCATGATGGCAATATGCTATCCTCATCCAAAGAAAGAACTGGAGTTTGAATGCAGATCAAAGCATACCATTTGCCATTTTTTTCCCCTTCTGTTTTGTTTTGTTCCCTCTTTTTGGTAGTTCCTCTATTGATTCTAATTCTTCCTTACAACATGACTAATATGAAAATATGCTCAATATGAATGTATATGTAGAGCCTATATCAGATTGCATGAGGGGAGAAGAGAGGGAGAAGAAGAAAATTTAAAACTCAGAATCTTATGGAAGTGAATGTTGAAAACTAAAAATAAATAAATTTGTTAAAAATAAATAAAAGACTATTTTTAAACTGTCAACAAAATATTTTTAAAAATTTTTTCTAAAAATTTCAATCACTGTAAAATGTTATTGCAGAAGGTAATTAGTGTCCAGTTAGTGCATCTCGTCCAAAGGTGGATGGTTTCTTAATGCACTGAGCTGGAGAAAGTACTTTGCAAATCTTAAAGGCCTGTAGAAATGGAAGTTGCTATCATTATAGGTTAATGGAGCTTACGATTTTTTCTCTTCAGACCCAATGTCACAATACCATATTTAATCCTATAACAGCAACTGGCCTTGGCAAACCCCAAACACTCTTCTTCTGAAGCAGCAGCATCACCAGTCTTCCAGAAGGCTAAAGATACCTATAGCCTCACTGCCCTAGAGCTACCACCCCTTCTTTTTTTTTTGCCCTGATCTCCATACACATGAGGGATACTGGGGTGTAGCTGGTCGCTGAGCTGGGAGTGTTGAGACATCACTCATGGCCTTAGGGAGTGGATAGTGGGGTTGAGAATGTAATACTGGGCTGAGGGAGTTAGAGAGAACTAAAAGCTGGAAGTATCAGGAAAGGGAGAACTTTTTGATATGGAATCATCAAAAAATATTGCCAAGCTGGAGAAGACCGTTGAGATGTTACATATCACAAAAATAAGAACACACAGGCACAAATGTAGAATGTATAATAAAAACACACCCTCACTCAAGTGCGTACTATGTGACAGCCACTGTGTTAAGGTATTTAGAGATACAGAGACAAAAGTAAGAGTTCCTGCATTCAAGCTCTTTGCAGATAACATGTGTGTATGTATATACAAATATGTATGTATATACAAACACACCATGGGGTCCCAAGTCTTAGTGCAGTTTTAAGCCTTAATTGCTTAAATAATAAATAAACATCTTTTGAGATACTCTCTGTTTATGTGTATATATGTATATGCATATATATTTAAAACATATATAAAATGAATACAGATGCAATGTGGGTTGTACAAAGGATGTGAAGATATTCCCTGCTTACTTCCCTTGACCACATGTGTGACTCAGCATCTGAGCCCTTTGGGAATGATTAACTTCCTGGTTGCTTCCAGGAGTGTGGTGTCTCATCAGTTAAAAAAAAAATGTATTGCTTGAGTATGAGGCAGAAAACCCAGAGTGGTTCTTTTGTCTTCTCCCACCCCCACCTTTGGACAGTGTTCTCTTCTTTTGACTCTTCAACAGTCATCCTGAATATCTGAAATTTCCACTGAGGGCTGGGGAAGGGATGGCAGCCCTAGCATCAGATTGACAATAGCCTCAGGCAGGTTGAATAGGGGATTTGAATCGGTGAGCTTGTCCCTGAGCTACTTCTTCTTATTTCCTTTCCTTGAATACATGATCAACCATCAGCATCAAAATAGAAGTATTCAGGCTTGAGGGTGACTGAATTCTAGAGGTCCAGAGGATCATCAGAGATCTGCCTCACTTAAATCCTATTCACTTCCAAGTCAAGCTGTCATCCTCCTGACCTCAGTGGTCTTCTTGGAGAACAAAGGACCAGGAACAGCAACAAACAACAGCAACAGCGCCCGTGGGGTACAGAAGTAAGGTGAAATGTGTCATGCCTACTCAGCAGTCCTGCCCCTGCTTTATGTGTTGTTAGCGTTGAAGTATCAACTATCTAAGAGAGTGTAATAGAGGTTATAACTTAAATTACGGAATCCTGTTTTAAGTTATGGCAATGCACTTTGCAAGCCTTTTGTATCTATGAGTATGTCATTTGTTTGTAGGGACAGGTATGGGACAGCCACTGTGTTAAGGTATTGGAGATACAAAGACAAAAGTGAGACAGTTTCTGCCTTCAAGCTCTTTGCAGATAACATGTTTGTATGTGTATGTATAGATATATGTATACACACATATACACACACAAATACACGATGGTGTTCCAAGTCTTCTTGCAGTCTTGAGCTTTAATTGCTTAAATAATAAATAAATAGCTTTTGGGACACTCTCTGCTTATGTGTGTGTATGTATATGCATATTTATATAATTAAAACATATACAAAATGATATATGTACCTGTTTTACACTGTTCACTGAGTATCTTTTTTATTCTCACTTCAGGGAGACTTCCTAGACATGAGACAATAGCTAAGTGTTAAATAATTTGTCCTTAGGGAGCACTAAGGTGGGAGTTTAACGAGCAGAAAAGTAAGAGAAAATGAAGTCTAATTTTTTTATTATAGAGGCCAGGCTCGTAAAGGACTGAACACTATCTGAACCACATGCCTGGGTCCAGAGCACAGGAATGTACTAGTGGAGAGAGAGAGGGTGAAATGCTTCAGCCTTCTGGGCCCAGAAACAGTACTACACAAGGTAGGAAAGGTACTAGAAGCTGGAAGTATCAGGAAAGGCTTCATGTAGAAAGTGGAGCCTGGGCTGAGTTTTGAATGAAAGTGGGGATTCCAAGAGGCAGGAGTGAGGTGGAGCAGCAACAACCCAGGCTTGGAGAACCGCCAAGGGCACAGATACTGGAAATAGAGTGCCCTGTGTGAGGACCAGAGTAGACCAGTTTTGTTGCACCATAGCATTCAGGGAGGGAAATACTGTATATAGTATAGTAGAAAGAACCCTGGATTTGGAGTCACAAGACTTCAATTTTGATTCTACTACTTTCTACCTGAATGCCTTTGTCTCCCAAGACCTCGGTTTACTCATAAAATGAAGGAATTGTACTCAATAATCTCTAAGGTTCTAAATCTAAAATGCTCTGATTATATCTACCTGTGCTTCACCTTCAGATAGGAAATGTTTATCCAGGACCCCTCCCTCCCAACCCCTTTACAAGCTATAAAAACCCTTCCTGGATCAACAGTGACCACTCAGCTCTTCAAAATATACCAAGCCAATAACATGGTCAATCCCTCTCCTCCTTCCCCCTCCAACTTTAACATCTCCCCAGCATCCCTCAGCTTCTGAACACTCGATCCCTTGTAATGGAAGCCCTTAGGTGCGTTTTCCAACGATCTAGGAAAGTCGTGGTTGGAGGGAAACAGTGGAGGGATATGGAACAAAGCGTGGTCATCGGCCTTCAGAATCACATATGCATAACCTTCTTCCACCTCCACCTCTTTCACCTCCCCCCGCAACAAGCCCAGGGCTCTAGGAAGACACTTGTAAATAGGCAGACTAGGCAGAGGGCTGGCTGAGGACCTGAACATGCGCACAGAGCTGCCCAAGCGTCAGGAGCAGAGGAGAGGCATAGAGCCGCGACGTTAGCAGTTTCTCTCTTTTAGGAGCAGGCGCCAAGGGTGCAGCAGGCAGAGGAAGGCTGGGGTGGCAGAGGAATGGGAAAGGAGCAGGAGATGGGAAGGATAAGTGAGTGTGTGTGCAAGTAAGTGCTGGAGCTGATGAATGGAGGTGTGCGAGCAAGAGACAAACGCGTTGGCGGCCCCAGCAGTAACAGCAACAGCAGAAGGAACAGGGAGGAGGGGGCGAGCGTCTTCTCTTTGGATTAAGGGGGAAAGAAATCAATGCTGTGCTATTGCAAAATAGCTTGAGCCTCAGCATCAGCTTGACTGGGGAGAGGTAAGAGAAAGAGTGAGGAAGAGCTAGCGAGCAAGAGCGAAAAAGAGGGGGAGAGAGGGAGAGAGAAAGAAGGGGAGGAGAGAAGACAGAGGGAGAAAAGCAGGAGGGAGAAGGACAGAGAGAGACAGAGAAAAGCAGAGAGAGAGAGAGAGAGAGAGAGAGAGAGAGAGAGAGAGAGAGAGAGAGAGAGAGGGAGGAGAGGAGGAGGAGAGAGAGGAGAGAGGAGAGAGGAGAGAGGAGAGAGGAGGGGGGAGCAGGAGCGGAGGGGAGGCGGGAGTCGGAGAGCTCCGCTGGGGGCATCTTCTCACACCAGACCAGTGCTTAGAGAGGAACAGAGGCTACAGAGTAGCTGGAGAGTTGGAAGGGCGGGTGGGAGGGGGTGTCGCAGCCCGGGCTGGGGGCGCGAGGGGTGGGAGGCTGAGCGAGAAACAGAAGTGATGAGAAAGCAAGCAGGAAGGTTTGAAACCGCTGCTGCTACTGCGTTGTACCAAGAAGAGGACGAGGAGGTGGAGGACTGCCGCTCCTGCCCCTGCGCCTGCTGTGATTCGTCGGGGATTCAGAGGCTGCAAGAGCTTGGCATTTCCTTGCTACAGAGGCCCCGACTGCTTCTGTCCCTGTCCCTCTGCCTCCCGTAGGGATCATGGAGACCGTGAACGGCACAGGAGGCAGCGGCAGCAGCGGTGGCACTGACGTGAAGCAGCCACCGCACGGCCAACACCATCCTCGCCACCACCACCATCACCCGTTGGCGGAGAAGAAGCGGCTGCACCGCACCCCCTCTCCCGCCAGACCCTTCCTGAAAGACCTTCATTCTCGGGCTCCGGTTCCAGCCCCTGTCGCCTCTTCTTCCACCTCTAGATCTCCAGCGACCGCTCCGTCAGCACCCAAATCCCCGAGCCTCTCGGGCAAGGCGCATTCTAGTCCATCGCAGGCGCCGCCGTCCCCGGGTCTCCTGGCCACCCAGAGCCGCCTCTCCCGACGCAGTGGGGGCGGCCAACTGGGAGCTAAGGACAAGGGGGTGGGAACCGGGAGCAAGCAGGGAGGCAATGCCAAGTCCTCCCCTTGCAACAAGAAAGCAGCCCGGGCACCGGCGGGAGAACAGCCGTCGAAGGCTGGAAAGCAACAGCCGCAGCCTCAGCCACCACTTACAGGTGGGGAACAAGGAACCGCTTCTGCTAAAGGCCGTAAAGGAAAGCGAGGTTCCGGGCCCCAAGGGACTACAGCCCAGACTCCGGCCCCTGCCTCGGCTCCAGTTGTCTGCTCCTTGACCAGCCCAAGCCACTCAGCCCCCACTATCCAAGCCCCCAACTTCTCTGGCTCCCTGGCTCTGGGCTCCCGCATCAGCCACACAGACAGTAGCTCGGACCTGTCAGATTGCGCCTCTGAGCCTCTGTCTGACGAACAACGCCTGATCCCGACTGCCAGCAGCGATGCCGAGTCGGGCACCGGCTCCAGCGATCGGGAGCCCCGAGGAGCCCCTACCCCTAATCCCAGCGGGAAAGCGGGACCTCCTAGCAGCCCCGAGCCGCTTGGACCTCACTACCCTTCTTGTGCCTCCCCCGGGAGCGGGGGCGGCAGGGCCAGTCCTTCAGTGGTTCCCCCCGGTCTGCTAGGGCCTGGAGTGGGGGAGAATGCTGGGGGGCGAGCCCAGCCGAAATCGACCTCCGGTAAGGGTGGCCCGGGAGAAGACGGAAAAGGGAGGCCTGGCAGCGGCGGTACCAACCAGGCACCCAGCCCGTGTGAACTGCAGCAGCTGGTGCTAGCGGAGGAGGAGGAGGAGCTGCTGCGGGAGATGGAGGAACTGCGCTCAGAGAACGACTATCTCAAGGTGAGCGGGGCGGAGGGGAATGGGGTAAGCTTGTAGGTAAGGTGGGAGCGGGGAGCTTGCTGATCGCATCCTGGCCCCTCAGAGCTCCTCCCTCCCAGCCCGCGCTGCTTGGTGCTGGAGGGGCGGACTAGCAACCGCCGCTCAATTTAAAAGCCTCTGATGACTCTTCCTACCCTACTGTACCCTGTTCTCTTTTCTTTCCCGCCCCTACACATCCTAATACTTAACTTGGGCAGAAAACTGGAAGAAGGGAGTCGGGGGAGCTCGGGGATGGATAGATGGGAATTGCTCTTGGCAGGTTTTCTAAACCTTTTCGTTTCTCTTGTTCCTGGCCTTCTGCTTCATGCTAATGCATCTTCATACCCTGGACAATTGTATTAGCATTTCCCCATAAATTAATGAGCAGCAAAATCACTGCAGGCTCTCATTTCTACCTGGTTTAAAAAAAAGAGTAAAGGAAATTTGCGTTCACATTCTAGAGGGGAAAATATATATTTGTATTCCTGAAAGTAATTGCGGATTAGAGGTAAAACCACTTGTAGGGTTTAGCGTTTACATGAAGAGGAGACGTACAGGCCAAGGATAGGGCTTCAATGCAGATACTAATTGTACCTGTGATTTTATTGGTATGGAGAGCTTGCTAGTGAAGGAACTCTCTCTCCCGAGGCAGGTCTGCACTTTTCTCTGCAATCTTTGCCTAGAAGCACTGAGAGGTTAAGTGACTCACCTAGAGTTACATAGCCAATATGTGTCAATGGAGAGGCCGGAATCCAGGTCTTTCTATCGACTAGGATAGCATTCTATCCATTTCGCTGCAGAATCCCCCATCAATAAAGAAACACTCTGCTCCAATCTGGCACAAGGATGACCAGACTGAAAGGAAGGGATGCAAGACCAGGACCGGTAGTGGTGTTTTAACTAGACAAACCGTGTTAAGGAAGCCTGGAAGCCTCGAGTATAACAGGAATTGTGACAGTTGGATTTAGTTGGTGTGTATTTATGAGAGGAACCCCAAAGTTGTGTTTTTCTTTTATTTGCCAAGCGAAGCTTCTGTTTTCTGTTACACACAAACACTGCACTTTCCAGGGAATAGCCACTTCCATCTGCCCTCAGCTGCTGTATCTTTAATTTCCCCCCTGCATTGTCTGAAAATGGAAACTGCATAACAATAGTCCCACAGTTACTCTGTATGAAAGCTTATAGTTTGTCTCTCTGGCTTTTCTCTGAAGCTGTTAGGGCCTGGCCTGCAGGAAGGAATATCTAAATAATAGCTACTGATAACAAGGGACATTTGCATAACCAGCCTGTCTCAATGCTATTTAGACAGTAAAAAGATGGAAACGAGGAAATAAAGATTTTGTTAATGTTGTTAATATGATCTTTCTTGTCAGTTACTTTGGGCCTTCAATTTATATTACCAATAGCAGAAATAAACACTATGATCTTAATATATAATCTTCCTAATCCAAAAATGATTACCCCACCCCCATCCCACCTAGTTAGACATTCAATTAAATTTTTTTCCCTAGTAGCAGTGATTGCCTTGCACTGATTCATCCACACTCTCTGGAGCAGTCTTATAAACAGGGACATATATTCTCAAGACAGCTTATAGGGTAGTTATAGTGGCTGGAGACAATGTTTCAGTCTAAACAAAAACAGAGTGGAATCATAATGAACTGGAAAGACTGCAGAAATGAGAATCAAAAGACCTGGATTTTTGTTCTAATTCTTCCATGAACTGGATATGTGACCATAAATAAATCACATAATCTCTCAGGGCCTCAGGATCTCAGACTAAAGGGATCTCTATGATCCCTTCCAAATCCCTAGTCTATTAATTAACTTGTCCATACATGTATTAAATCTACCAAAATGGACCTTTTAGCAGGTGCTTTAACCAACTAAGTTAAATAATAATAATCTTCATTAATATTAATGAGGAAAAAGGAAGAATACGGAAAGTGGGGCTCTGAGAGCTTGGGGCAGAGGTGTCAAAAGGGAAGTTAAATGATTAATAAAAAATATATACCTCTTTGTATTGTTCAAAAGGTAACAAGCAAAAAGAGTAAAGATATTATGTCAGCCTAACATAAATACTGAACTTTTTTCCTTCTAAAATATTTTCAGAATTGCTGAGCCCTAAAAGCACACAATCATGAGAAAACCCATTTCTTTAAAAAAAAAAGATACTCACCATTAGTTCTTGGTTTTTAAAAGAGTCAATTTCCCATCATTTCAGGATTCATTTTTGGGTATTTATTTTTGTGTCTTATTTTGGACATCTTTTTTCTGGTAACTTCTGGTATAGTTGATTCCCCCATGAATGCAATGTAGACATCCATTTCTAGGATGTCTGGTCTTGTCCAGGGACAAGCACTAAGGATAGTCTTTTGGGAACATAGTAATTAAAAAAAAAATTTAGTTACTTGAACTACTCCCAATACCAATCCTCCTTAGGGTCTTTTGTTTTCTTTCTGGTTGGCTACCTTATAATGGACACTCTAGGCAGGATGTGTACAAATGGCAGGCCAGATCCCAGAGGAAATGGCTAATTTGTTGAAAATGATGTACTCTGTAAGGTATATCCCAGGACCAGCCATGACCATCCATATGACCTATTTCCCATCATCCCCTCTGCACAGAAAAGAAAATGTAGGGGTTTAGCAATCTGGAAGAGTTGGTTGTGAAATGAGAACAATAATAGCATATATGCATTTTAATTAGACTGTTTGTTAATTCAAAGGAGGGGAAAAAAAGCTAAATTTAGGGAAAAGATAGGGCCTTGGGAAATTTTCTAAAGGTTGCCAAGTACCTTCTCCAAATCTGATACTTTTTGCTATGCTACATTGTATCTCATATAGAAAACTATTATTTTTTCAAGTATTCTACATTGTTGTGCTTTGTGAGATGGGTTCACAAAGAGTATTTGTCTATTGGCACATTATTTCATAGCAAGAGTCTTATCTCCAATGAACTAGCTGTGTGATCTTGTGCAAGTCAATGGATTTTAATTTCCCCAGCTATGAAATTGGAAAGTGGCTGGGCTTCTAATACATCTTATAGTTCTAACATTCTATGATTCTGGGATTTTAGTAGAACGCTCTTGGCCAATTGTATTTGTTTCTTAGAGTAGAAATTGTAGGCCTGAATATCCAGGAAAACTAAGAGCCTATGAAGTATTGGCTTCTTTTTTGAAGTAGGTCCTGTTGTCATCATTTCTATGAAACTATCACAATGAAGAGCTGAAATACATAAAAACTCATCAAGTAAAAGAATGAAACCAACAAACCCATAAAAAGAAATTTTATTAGGTTAATAATTCCAAATGCAAGGCAATTAAAAAAAAACATTTCAGCCAGCTCTAATTTTAAAGTGACAAATGTGCTTGTGTGCACTAAGTCCCTGAAGTTTTTCTGGGTTAGGTTGTTCTTGATCCAAGAAAAGAAATCCCATGTCTCTAAATAGGGAAGGAAAGCTTATCAAAGTCTATGTACTATGGCAATAATAACAATAGCTAATATTTATGGAGTGTCTACTATGTGCCAGGCGCTGTGTTAAGTACTTTACAAATATTATCTTATTTGATCCTTACAACAAAATAAGGCTTAGGAAGGTTCAGTGCTTATTATGTCCATTAACATACTAACTGGTGCTTTACTTTCTCATCTGCTTTTCATGGTAGCTTAAGCACTTTGTGTTTATGAGCATGTCTAAGAAAAGCTGCCAATGCTACTTCACCATGTGCTTCCACCAACAACCCTTTCAAAGAATGCCCTTTGACAGTGATTATTTTATATCCTTTAAGCATGGTGGAGTTTTTTGTTTGGTTATTTATTGTTTTGTTTTGTCCTTGCTGGAGATTGATGCTGGCTTATCTAGGGTTAATCTGTTCTAGTCATGATGGTAGATAAAGTTGGATATAGGAAAAAAAATCTGTTCTTAAGGGACTCTGCTTTCTATAGTAATTCTAGATGTAGTAGCCAGGGCGCTCATAACGTGCAGGTGCACAGAATTCTATCCTATGTTTGAGGTACTTTGTTATTCTCTATCCATTCAAAGCCTCAAACCCCAACTTGTTTACTTTTATTATCCCAGTCACACACACGCACACACACATGTATATATATATATATATATATGCATCTATACACACATATTTCAAACAAAAGACCTTGAGTCAAACAGCATAGCAAAATTAGTGATAAAAATGTTTCTCCATCCCACAAAATAGTATTCACAGGGCTATTCTGTCACACAAATTGCCCCAACACTAGTGGGAGAGGGGACATTCCTTGATGATCAATCACCTCATACTACCAACCTACTACAGGTTATGTTCTCTGATGATCATAAGAACATAGATTTAGAGCTAGGAGGGATCTTAGAGGTAATTGAATCCAACTCCCTCATTTTGAGATGAGGAAACTGAGGCACAGAGAAGTTAATTGACTTCTCCAGAGTCACAAGTAATTTCCAGGGCAGATGTTGAATTCATTCATGTCTTCCTGACTCCAAGTCCGGTGCTGTATCCAATTTGGTATGCTGCCTCATGTTATCATACTACTCTCTACTGGGTTTTTTCCCAGATCTGTTCTCTGCTAGGTGTCTTTGCAGAGCCACTTCTGGATTCTGCTCCCATCTTTTGTATTTTCTGATGATATAGGAGCAGAATGATGTGCAGTTAAAAAAATATAGGCTTGGAGTTAGAGGATGCCTGGTTTAAATTCTGGCTCTGCCACTTAATGGAACATCTAGATGATGCGGTGGCTAGGATGGTGAGCCTAGAGTCAGAAAGACTCATCTTCCTGAGTTCAAATCTGGCCTCAGACACTTACTAGTTGTGTGACTGTGGGCAAGTCACTTAACCTTGTTTGCCTCAGTTTTATCATCTGTAAATTGAGCTAGAGAAGGAAATAGCAAACTACTCTAGTGTCTTTTGGCAAGAAAACCCCAAAGCAGGTCAAGAAGAGTCAGACATGACTGAAAAACAACAAATC